CCTCGGGAAACACGGGGCAATACAGCTAGTATGGGGAAATATTATATACCTTATACTTAGGGTTAAGTATAAGGAATAATATCTATGGTATAAATAGTATTAAAAAAAAAATGTATTCTGACGAGTTTAATATAACACATATTGAACTGATGTATATAGCTATATACCTACAGCAGTCCCACTTTCGATCAATAACTTCAACAGTTCAACCCTCGTGGCTCCACTCATATTCCCCCACATCATCTGTACCGTTAGAGACACCCTCAGCAAGTATAGTTCACTACTATATACTATACAACAGTCCCACCCTCGATCAATAACTTCTCCCCTAGCGACTGACAGCATCTTCACTCATCCCCTTCTCCCTACGTCATCTGTATAAACTGCTGCATTTTGGTGATGTGGGAAATAATCGACGCTCAATAATACGGTCACTACGTCATAGGGGTACATTACATTTTACTTATTCAAGCTTTCACGTTTTGCTTCGTTCTAGCTTTCTTTTTTATAAAATAATTTTTACTAGTTGTTATTACTCATTTCTACTAACATGAACGAGACTTGGCAACTATGAAATTAATGGTTTTGAATGTTTACTAGGTATAATACTAAGATTTTTAAAAATATGAATATCGGCTGTTTATTATGATCGATGGTTGATTTGATGCTGTTTTGAAAATGTGATAATAAAGGGGGCACATTTTTTTTATACAATTGTACTAATAAATAAATAAATTATCAGTCAAATTAATTTTGACATGGCAAACTATACTGTAGCATTTTGAGTAACATATTTTATTTCTACCAAAATAACTGGCCTGCTATTATTTTATTAGTCTTAAATCGTATTTTACAATAAACTAAATTTTCAAAATCCCTGTGGTCTAGTGATACTATCTACAATCCCATTGCTTCTCGGAGAGTTATCTTCTATTGTACTAAATGGATTTTATAATTAAATGCAAACATAAGCGTGCAAGCCAGTTTAGTACAGACCCCATATAATTGGAAGACTATAAATAACAACTGTATAATAATTGAAAACGTATTTAAAATTTACTATTTAACAATGCGCTTACGATAGCGTTGAAAATGTACATATTTCCTGGGTAATGTTTATAACAATTACAATATTTGTTCCTCATAAAAAATGACTCAGAATCTCAAATGGAGGATAGAAATTGAAGGGTCAGATTGCTGTTATCTGTATCGAAGTATCGATTATAATAGTTACTTTTAATATTGTAGCCTGAGTGGAGGTTTGTAGAGTCCGCATCAAACGTACTGGCGGTTGGTGACTCCGCCCCCTGATGCCACTATGCAATCGAAAGATTATATTTTAGGTGACGTTCACACAAAAAACCTGATTCCTTTAATTATAGGTATAGAGCGCCAAATAAATTTGTGGTAACAGGTGTTGAACGCCTCTTTGTGGGCGGAGTCACCAACCCCCATACGTGGACTCTAATATTGATCCGTCGTTGAGGCGTATATAATAAATTCGGTGGCGGTGAGGGCGATTGTAAACTCAGCCTGTGTTTTTTCTGGTAAAAATTATTTAGATGTAAGCTCGGCCCGGGGTTTTTAAAGGTAAAAATAATTTAGGTGTAAGCTCGGCCCAAATAAAGATATAGGTACATATAATATTTTTGAGAACTATTTAGCACTACTCAGAGGACACCATGAGGAGGAGATTCTCAGTATCCTCCAAAACGCATGTTAATTAGTAATTACTATACATGACATTTTAACCTATCCACTTATTCATAGTTATTACTGTATTATAATGTATACATATAGTGTGCAATTAAAAATCACTGTTATTTTACTAATTTAATATTTATTTGTTTTCAGTGCATTTATAAACGTACTTGGGCATACAAGACAAAATAATAAACAGTGACTCTCAAAATTCAAACAAGACCCGGTTATTAAAGCCATGACAGACTATAATAACAAATATTTTGTCGATATATGGAAGGAAACCATTCAATAATTACAATTACGTTAAGTTAATTAACAGCCATTGGTTAGTGGTTAGGGCCACTTCGTTCTATATTGAAGAATTGTTTATGCCATTAAGGTGTTCGGATCAAGTTAGTATATACAACACTCTATATTTTAAAAATGTTCACACTTAAAATGGCAAACATCACAAAAAAATAATTATAAAGCTGGAATCACGTTTCTATTTACACTGTTTTTATGTGGAATTTAAAATACATATTTGCCTACTTTCAGGGTTTTAAAAAACAATAAATTAGTGCTCCTTTAAAATTATATTGTCCTAGTCGATTAAGAAAATGTTGGTAAGTTTGGTGAGGTCTTTGGTATAGATTATATATTATCGAATAGGTAAACGAAAAGACAAAAAATCTTTAGTTAATTTAGTCCTTCGAACATCGTATTCATCAGTCACTGATAGGTTCCAGGGACACAATTTAATCCGAAAGTCTGTTTTATGCTTTCGGACCTATGCAGTTGATACTTGATATACATCTGGGATTGATTTCCTGAACCTTTTGATAATTATTCCGAATTGTCTGTCAAGTAACCTATTTTATAAATGTATATATTTTAGTATCTGGCATATGCATTTTGTATGACCTTGTTCTTCATAGTAGGAACCTTTTAGATTTTCAACGGAGCGATGAATATATTGATTTAATATATGATAATATACAAATAATATTCATTAAACTAACTGGCTACCATGTTATTAATATCAATATAAATATAATGTAAAATAGCCTAGGCTTATAAACCACCTCCGCTCAGAATCGTTTATTTGTATATAATTATATTATATCATTGAATTCAAATTTAACACCATCCATTACAGTGACCCACTTGTAACCTACTGTACAGCAGAGCGACATCCATTTACCTACATTTTTCTTCCCCTCCCCCATGATATCAAACTTTGACAACGCCGCCATCAAATCAACAATTTATAATAACAATTTACATATTAACAATTTGCAATACTCTCAGGAAGCCGGAGACTACTTTCCTTAGATATCGTTATAGTATGTGTGTTGTAGTAGGTACACGTAATAGTAGGTATTAACTGTGACTTTTTAGAAGTTATTGAATAATTTATTGTTACTTATCTACTCCCGTATTAGATGCAATCATTCGCTTAACCACTTGAAGTAATTTTTATATTTTATAAGCCTAGTACAGGAATACTATCACCGCAATAATATATCCCACCGCTACTACGAATAATGTTTTGGATATATTCATAACACTGAAATAAAGTACAGACATTATAATTTACTATTAAGTAAAGAAATACAATTTATTAGCTACTTATGGTTAGTTAATGTACCTATAAGTTGAATACTTGAGAAGAATGAGAACTAATCTTAGTTTTTGAATATTCTAAAAGAATTAATTGAAAACTCACATTTGAAGGGGTAGTTGGAATTAGTTTTTCATGTCCAAGCTAAATAAAAACCAGCGGGAAGATAACTTGGGTTTGGATGGAGTACTAATTTATGTTTTAGACCCTGAACGCATTAATAATTGGGCAGCACTAAAACTTGGAAGTATAAAGGAAATTAGTACTTTCTATGCTCCCGCTAATATTAAGTATTCCGCAAATTAATAAATTATAATTTAATATTATTATATTGTTTTTTTAGGGCGTAAAAACGTATTCGAAAGAAAAAAATAAAATCGTTTTCATCAACGAAACAAGAAATTATTATAACCTGTGTTATTAGCATCAACAGTTCCTGTGGATCTTATTTAATATTTTAATATGGTAATGGACTCACTTATTGTTAATTGATTTTAAGTAGATGAATATGATTAAAAAAAATTGTAAGTTAGTTCAAAGCGTAGGTACCTAATTTTTGCACTTTTGCCTATTAGGGCTCAAACTATTATGAAATATCAATCATAAAGTTATAAATTAAACACAAGTAAAAAGGGGAAAGTTCAAACTTTTTACGGACACGAAACACAAAACCCATCATATTTAAGCCTTTAAGCCACTTGCTGGTTTTTTAAGAAAAAGTATAGGTTCTTAAATAAAAAATTGTTTTTTTATTTTTATTATTGAAGTGCATCTATCTAATCGTAGATTTTACTATAGATACACAAACAATAATGATTACCAATAATTTTATTAAATATTTGAAATAATATTAATGACTAGGTAGGACTATTCCATTTTATTTGTTTATCATAAACTTAAACAAAAAAATCAAATACTTAGTAATCAGTGATTTATATTAGACGTTAAAAATAAATTTACTATCAAATTTGGTGATCTCGAACTTTTTAAACTCAAAATCGTCAAAACCTCATACTTTTTCCCTGACCCCTGACGCGTAAGTATATATTTCAGTGCTCCGTTAAGTTTCAACAAGTAAAAGAGTGATTTTGATCGTGTTTTAAAATGTTCGTTCGCCATGGCGACTATAAAACGCATACAAAATAATTTTGTATTCCACTTAATACTTTGTCAACTTATCTTAAAAAGTAAGAAAACATTTTAAGTAATTTGTCTACATCCTGTAAAAAGGACAGAACGAGGGCTAGGGAACCAAAAAATCCTGATGTTGATGAATAGTGTGTTTAAACAAACAAGTGACAAAAAAAAAATCCACTGAGCGAAAAAGCTCAAAAAAGTAAAAACTGAAGAATTTGCATTACAATTGGAAAAACACAATTTTAAGGCAAGCTGTGGATGGCTCGATGGTTTCAAACAAAAAAATGGCATCTGTCTTAAAACCATAATTGGTGAAAGTGGTGATGTTCAAGTGGCTGATGATTGGAAAATAAAATTGCAACAAACGAAAAGAGAAAAAAAACTCCAAAAATATTTTTACAGACGAAACAGCTGATTTATTTTAAATATGTCGATATTTATTAATAATTGATCGCATTCGAGCGAAATGCTGTCGATTGGGTTGTTATAACCATAGTCCATATGATGTTAGGTGTTTTTTTTTTTTATGAGAATAAGTAGGACAGGAACGAGACATTTATAGAGGAACATGAAATTGTACTAGTTTCAGAAGCTCAGGACTAGATATAGTTCCGTTTGCAAGTTTGGTCATGAAGTAAATATCATTGCGTTGTCTTCTGTTGTCCAGATATTGAAATTGGATGCTCATTTGAATCATATTTCGTGGTATAGATAAGGAAGGAGAAAGGTCACCAGTATTACGTTGTCGTTTGTAGCTAATATATGGTAAACATTTTCGTTGGACACGCTCGAGTGATTCAGTCAAACCTATATTTGCGTCGGATTCCATAGTTAAAATCAAGTATTGGTCTAACATTTGAGACATGTAATGTTTTTAGTGTATAGGGGTGTGGCGTATACCATTAATTGTATTTCTGTTTTCTAAAATATCGATTGCGGGTTTTGATCATTTTGAAGTACCCAATAGTAAGGTTGGCCAGGAAACAGAAACGTAAATGACGAATAGTAGATTTGGAATTATTGTTAGATTGGCAATTGTGCTATAAGCATGATCAATTTCCCCGTGTACCAATGCTTAGAATATCTGAACACAACAAATTTATATTTAAAGATTAAAATTTGATTATTTATACATGTTTATATAAATATAATAGACGTTATAATAATTAATGACAATTTTTTTTTCGACAAAATGTCCTAATGATTACCTTTTTATATCGTTTATATAATGTTAGGTAATGTGTAGGTAATTCATTAATAATTTGAAAATCATAATATTTCAAAAATAATACTACTAGGTTGAACTCACTTTGTTTTACTTTTATATGTGGAGTGATGGAAGGGGTACAGAATTTGATACGTCTTCCTCCCCCCAAATGCCTAAGACTGTTCTATGCCAGTCCATTACATCTTAGTCCATGGTAGAAGCACTGCTGTGTACCGCCCATGATCGCTCTTTCCAACTGCAAAAACACCATGACTTGGGCGACTATCAAACCTAGGTTTGATATATATATAAATCTTTCTATTTTTAAATAAATTAATCAAAATGTCTTACTATTAAAATTTAAAATTATAAAAAAATGTAATCAATAAAACGAAAAAAATCCGAGTAAATAAGCTTATAAATCAAGTAACTAATAACTCATAACCTGTTAATAATCATATAATGAATAATAAGTCATGACCATTAAAATATATTAAAATTTCCAAAATATCAAATTTTAATTCTAATAAGCAATACTACTCTTAAAATTATAATTTACAGTAAAATCGACATGATATTTTATTCTTTACAAAAAAAAAAAAAAAAATTAAATAAATTACCAGTACGCTTTAGATTATTATAATTATGATAATGTATTTATCGAAAAGTAGATAAGTATTCTAGAGGTGTACTATCCTTTCCATTTAACCATATAGAATTAGATTTTTCTTGTAATTTATAATATATTTTAGAGATTAGATTTCGAATGATGACGTTAGTCTGAAAACATATTTATAATCGTATTTCCATATTTCAGAGTTTGAAAAATGTATATAAAAATGCAAACTCGTCAATGTTGGTTTCGTAGGAGGTTCTAAACATAGTACTATATAAGGATTATAATATGTGGTAGTGATTTGATAAATTGAGTGAAGTAAATGTGAGATTTGTTTCATATCGATATGGAATTCGAAAGACTGGAAAATACGTCTAGTGAAAAAAAAGATGGAAGTCAAACCATTATATTTTAATCTAGACTAAAATAATTATTATAGTTATAAAATAAAATAATAATATTATTTTTTCCGTTATCGATGATGTTAAGACATTAGAGTATCTACCTAAAAATTAAACGATTATAACATTATTTTTAAAATAATAGATTATATTAAATTAAGTTTAAATTTTATATTCACTTAATGTATTAATTTATAATGAAATAATAATTTATTCATTTTCCAAACAAAACAAATTTGAAACTAGGTTAATAGATGATAATAATATTAATATAGTTATTATAATATATATTATATAATCAGGTGAATATATTATTAGGATCTTACAGAAGTTAATTATGCAGGTATTGTTTTGAACTGTATTGTTTTATTTTTAATAGAAGAATTAATTCCGTTACATATACTATGTAGATGTTCTTGATCGGTTCATAAAAATTATTATTTTAAGAATTAAAAATATTATAATAAATTAAATTTATTATTAACTAAGTAGGTACTTATTAATAAAAAATTTCTAGTTTTGATTTTTGATCATTTTATCTTCGGTGACATGGGCACAGCTTTTAACAATTCAGTTACAATAATACTGGGAGACTAATTCTTAAATGTATTTCGAAATATGACACGACGTTTTCAGGCTAACAGACGGGTTCGATTATTTCGTATTAGTTCGTTTGTGTATGACTTATGTTTTCTCTTTTTTCTTCATTTGATCTGCATTCTGTCATCAGATGATTTACTGGTAGTATAACTCCGCATGAGGGTCATTCCGTTGGTGATTGGTTTTTCGTAAGGTGTCTATGTGTGAGGAGGGTTTGGCCTATTCTCAGTTTTTTTTATTATTTTTTTCTGTTTTTTGACAAAATCAAAATTCTAGGCTTAACGTTTGATACAAATCTATTACAAGTACCACATCTTAAATGCATTAAAAAATTAAAATCTCAAATAACAAGAATCATAAAAATACTAGCAGACAAAACAAACTACTAATACAAATACATAAAGCACTTATCTGGTCAAAATTTGAATCTTCTTCTTCTGGCCTATTATTACGGACCATTGAGGTCCTTTGCCGCTTCCACAATCCTTCTCCACTGATCCGTTTCTGTTGCCATATCGATGCTGAAGGTGTTGTTT